AGGGCTGAGAGAAAGTGACTGGCCCAAGGTTACCCAGCTGGCTTTGTGCCTAGAGGGGATTAGAACTCATGGTCTCCTGGTTTCTAGCCTGGTGCCTTAACCACTACACCAAACTGGCTCTCATCATATAGTAGCAGATAAGAAAACCACAATCTATGTTTATAAATAATATTCTAAGTTTATAACAAATTCTAAAGTAATGTTATGAAAAATTGAAATGGTAAGAAAGTGGGAACAAATCTTGCATGCAACTTTTATGCTGAAGTTTGAAATGGCCACAAATGCTGTAAAAAAACCCCTAAATGTTCAAAAAATTAAAATAGACCAAATTTAAGCCTCCACTTAATAACAGAGTTCACTAAGTAACTGTGGGCCATTCACTCACTCACTCTCTAACTCTCTCTCTCTCCCCCCCTCTGCCATACCTACCATACTGGATGTTGTGGGAATAAAATTATGAGAGAATCTCCATGTAAGCTTTCTTGAACTCACAGAAAACAAGTGGGATGTAAATGTAAAATGAATAAATAAAAATCTATCTCCACTTGCATAAAATATCATTTTTCAAAATATATATCAAAGAGAACCAAGAAATGATCAGTATGGATTGAAAAAGTAATAACAAGACCTGCCAATTTCTCCTTGGACATCGTCAGTTTATTCAATAGGCCTGAACTCAAATCTGTAACTGCCCATCTGTACATCTGACCTTACCTGTGGAAGTATAGGAAATGCATTTAGGTTCAAACTGGCTCCTGATGTTTTTTAACTTGGCCTTATGAAATTTATTACCAAGTTTTATTCAAGCTTAATCCTAGTTTCCTCAATGAAAAAAGAAAGATGATTTCACTTAGTAAGATTCTAGGCTTTTGTGCTACACTGCTCATTTGGGTTTTATATGATATATACATCATACTCAACCAATCCTGAGCTAATTTTGTGTCTATCTATAGCAAAGCTTGAATGGTTTCAGCATTATAACCATGCTGGCTTATACAATGAATGCACATATTTGCAGCTCCCAAATAAGTGTTCAGAGATACGATTTTGGACATTTTCAGGTTTCTAGCCTAGGTAATGTTTTTGTACCATGCTACATTCTAGCATGACAGTTTTCGTTAGTTTACTCTAGACCTAAAGAAGAATGAATGATATGTCTCCTTTACCACTTCTCATTTTGTGATGACAGTTTTTATGAGTGGTTGGTGTTAGGACAAGCCATAGCCCATAGGATAATTTCATTGGATGTTTTTATTATTTGTGTTAAACTTTAAATTGATCAACCACATCTGATAAGCTGATTTCCAAAGTTTTTCAATCAACAGTGAATCTTCTTAGAGTATATGCAAAAAATATCCAGTTTCAGTCCTTGGCATTTCTGGTGGAAATCACCCCAGATAACTGAGCTTAGAACATAGGAAGCAGGGCTGTTGGAGGATCTGGTGCTTTTGTCAAAATGATGAACTCAGCATCATGATGGAGGTCATGATGTATGTGTGAAAGGGGCAGAGATTGCATTGTAAGGGTATGACACTGCTTTCATAATTTGCCCCAGCTTCAACCCCACTGTGGATGCCTCTAATAGGTAAGCTTCCTTAAGGTGAAGAAATGGTCCTCTTAGCTCACCTTGACCAAATGATGGTAAAGGGAACCAAGATGCAAAAGGCTGGTCTAAACTGACAGATTGTATGGATTATTGGCTAGAAAGTGTCCTCCTCTCACACCTTTGAAAGCATGAATGTTTGTCAGGAATGGGAGGGGTTGAAAAGGCACAACATTTATTTCTTGAAGATTCACAGTCATGTGAGCTCAAATTCTGTCCTCTGTAGATTTTTTTGTGGTTTAAATATTTGTAGCCAAACTTTTCGGGGGTAAACATGGCCAAATAAGTCATTGAGAAACAAACATTTCCAGATTCTCTTCCCTTGCAGATGGCGCTGAAGAGAAATTAACTCAAACAATCTAAACTAGGCTTAATTAGATTGTAGGGGATCAGTATATCATTTTACTAGAAGAGCTTCGTTAGATTCTCAAATAGGCAAGGCAGAACCTTGTGGAAGCATGCATGTTTGGTAAAATCATAAGTATTGGTTTTCATTCTTAGAGTTTCTATCTCCCTAAGCCTCACTATTTCATTTATAGTGCTGGGGGATTGGGAGGAACTAAGGTTTTAGTCCTTAGTCCTACGGTTTTTACATAAATCTGTTTCATTCTATCAGATGCTTTATTGTTGCATTAATATAATTATAGGCAATAAAAATAAAGTAGAGCCCTTTTGAACTGAACACAAATTAGTAATGGAATGAGCCTCCTTTTTCTTTCAGTTTTCATCATTCCAGTGTTTAAATCCCCTTATTATATGAAGCTTTCATATTCATTCTTTATTGTTCATATCCATTTATAGCCTCTGTGAATTTAAGGGATGTGATACCATCTTTCCCTTCTCTTCCCCCCCCCCCCCCGCCTTCTGTTCATTCATTCTTCCTTTCTTTCCTCTTTCACCTCTCACCTCACCACTTTGTGGCAGGTCATTGCAATAGTAATTCAGATAGATATTAAAATAATGATTGAACTAAAGCTCACAAAGAATGTACTGTTTTCTACCTCATGATTATTTCCATTTTCTCCATTCTTTCTTCCAAACAAATTAAAGATGTATAAAATTCTGATGAAAAATATTACTAGTTTAACCAATATTTGGGGGTCTCCTTCTAAACACTTCCAGATTAATTTTGGATTTCAGTTTTGGTGATATTGCCATGATAGGTTTAAGAACTATACCTAGCATGATATGAGAAATTTATGTTTGGACTTTTCAACATCATTTTCTTGATTCAGGGTAGTTAGCTAGTTGTTTTTTTTAAAGGAAAGTCTCCTTTGAGCTGTGTGACCTTGTAGTTTTCTTTGAAATAATGTGGAACTAAACAGGACCAATCCTGCTTAGCGTTTGGAGTTCAACCATAGTTAGGTGCCCTCAGCTATCTAAGCTGGTGAGAAAATTGAATGGACAGTGCAAGGCCAGAAATATGCT